CCATCTCCCCCTTACCCCCAACTTACCGTAGTGCACTAAAAGATCCAAACTGGCACGCTGCTATGTGTGATGAATTTAATGCCTTGATTAAGAATGACACATGGGAATTAGTGCCCCCCTCCCCCTCCCAAAACCTTATCACCGGTAAATGGCTTTTTCGACACAAATTTGGCCCCTCAGGTGAGTTATCCAGGTACAAGGCCCGTTGGGTGGTTCATGGTTTCAACCAACGTTTTGGCGTTGAATATGACGAGACCTTTAGCCCCGTTGTCAAGCCTGCCACTGTTCGTATCGTCCTCAGCCTTGCTCTGTCACGTGGATGGCCCATTCACCAACTTGATGTCAAAAATGCGTTCCTTCATGGCCAGCTACAGGAGATCGTTTATGCCAGCCAGCCGCCTGGGTTTCAGGACCCCAGTCGCCCTCATTATGTATGCAAACTCAAGAAGGCTCTTTATGGCCTTAAGCAAGCACCACGCTCTTGGTTCCACAGGTTTGCAGGTTTCATACAGACCATCGGCTTCCGAGGATGCAGGGCCGACACTTCCCTATTCATTTTCTCACAGCCCATGGGCACGGCCTATCTGCTTCTGTATGTAGATGACATTGTACTCACGACATCCTCCCTGACACTGCTTCAGAGCCTCATTCAGCAGCTTAAGGCCGAATTTTCCATGACAGACATGGGTGACCTGCACTTTTTTCTTGGGATCAATGTCCAGCGCACAGCCACCGGCCTCTTCCTCCACCAGACTCAGTTCACACATGATATCCTCAAGCGGGTAGGGATGGTCTCTTGTCGCCCCATCTCTACCCCGGTGGACACAAAGGCGAAACTATCTAGCACAGCAGGCTCGGCGCTACCCGATCTGTCCTTTTACAGGTCCATTGTCGGTGCACTGCAGTATCTCACCTTCACTCGTCCTGATATCACATATGCAGTTCAGCAGCTCTGCCTACACCTTCATGCACCACGCGATGCACATCTTACTGCCATGAAGCGAGTTCTTCGCTATCTTAGTGGCACTGCCACCCACGGGATCCATCTGACACGATCCGCCACTGATTATTTACAGGCTTACTCTGATGCTGATTGGGCTGGCTTCCCTGACACCAGACGCTCCACATCAGGTTACTGTGTTTTTCTGGGCGACAACCTCGTTTCCTGGTCTTCCAAACGCCAGGCCACCACCTCTCGTTCTAGTGCCGAGGCAGAATATCGGGCTGTTGCCAACGCTGTTGCAGAGACCTGCTGGATCTGGAATCTTCTTCTTGAGCTGCAACAACCACTCCGTCGCGCCTCACTCGTCTTCTGTGACAATGTTAGTGCTGTCTACATATCATCAAATCCGGTGCAACACCAGCGCACCAAGCACGTCGAGGTTGATATACACTTTGTACGCGATAAAGTGGCGCTTGGCCAGATCAAAGTCCTTCATGTTCCTTCATCCTCTCAGTTCGCCGATATCTTCACAAAAGGACTGCCTTCTCTCTTATTTCTGGACTTCAGAGAAAGCCTGGGCATCCGACCCCCAGCACATCCGACATAGCCGGGAGCATGTTAAATATATTAAATATATTTAATATTATTGTATTATGATTTGTTTCCATACTTGTATAGCTTTCCTAGAATACCTCTCCTACCATAACTAGGATTGAGATGTTGTATATATATACATGTACTCCTCACATAATTAATCAATGAAAATACAATTTCTTCATATTGTTTATTGAGTACCAATTTAAAAAAAATACCTTATTAGAAAGGACTATTTTGGAATAAAGTGAGGAGATATTGAAGAGGTAGAGTCCAAATGTAAGAGAGATTTTTTGAGATAGCTACAAATCCCACATTAACTTAGTTAGTTCAAGATTTAACTAATACAATTATCTACACATAAACATTAAATATGGATAATTTTATTAAACAAAGACTAATCGATTTGCAATGCATTGTTTTCAACTTTTGCTAGTTTATTACGGAGTAATTAGCTTTGTAATGCTAATTGATTAGCATGCATGATGTCAAATCAGGAGTCTCGTATTTACCTGAAATCCTTTCAAAAGTTTTTTCAAATAACTCCAAATGATTCATGTAACAATCATACTCTCTTCCTCCTCAAAAAGCTCTTGCTTTGATTTGGCACAAAACTTAAAATATGTGAAAGTATATGGTTGGAAGAAGTATATACAGTTGAGAAAGAAGGATTAATTATAAGCCACTCAAATTTTTCTATAAAAAAAGAAAGAAAAGGGGAAGCTTTATTGGAAGGGAAGGAGTAGATCATTTGGTCAATTAAAACAATATTTATTTAACATTAATCAATTTATCCATCACATTTTATTTTTACCTATCACAGTTGAGTATAAAATCTATCTTAGGCTTATAACTCCAAATTTGAGCTTTTGGTTGAATTGATTCCTTGACATGGTATCAGAATTTTGATAACGAAGAAGTCACGAGTTCAAACCTCACTACCCCAGTTTTGAAAAACATTAATTTTCATGCGCCAGGCTTGAGCAAATATTAATCTGGTCTGGACGTGAGGGGCATGATAGATTATAATTAAAACCTATTAAGGGCCTATAAGCTGAAGCTAAGCTTGAATTTTTGGTAGAGTTTATTTCTTAATAACATTTAAAATTAAAATTAAAATTTGAACTACTCCTTAAGAAATATACTCTTAAAATTGCTAAAAGTCAAAAAAGAATTTTTTTTTGAAATGAAGGGAGTAATTTCGAGTTAAGAAGTCTTTTTGATAATGGAAGAAGATTTCATTTTTTAATATGATACTTGATTTTTTTTCCCTTAGGACCAAATTTTTGCCCATGAATTCAAAAATCATCCATTGAAATTGCCATATGAATCTGCGTATAAACACATTAATTTTAGTCATACTATGGAGTTTAATTTGGAGGTAGTCTCTTTT